TGCATATCGTGGATTGAAGGGCAACGCGAACAATTTCTTGACTGAGTCTGACTGTGCATCGATGTGTCCCGGTGAGGAGCAATTCCTTGGTTGAGTATAACTGCATATCGATGTGTTCCGGTCCAAGATAAGAAAGCATTGAATGAGTCTGTGTTGAGCTTATCAAGAGAAACATCTGGTTTTGTAGCCTGAACCGAGCATTTTCGACTCTGACGTGCAAACAAGCAAATTCCACAAGTGCTTCAGAATGTTGAAAATTTAAACATTACTGAAGCGGTATAAAGGATTATTATTTTTCCATCCTGGAAATGCAGCTTGTGATGTTTCACCGATAGTTCATATTGCAGTGCTGCCAAATCCATGCTCAGAAGGTAAACCGCTAATGAACGCCCAGAATGAGCCGACGATTTGTGGAGGCAGTGAAAACTGCCCTAATGATTACTACTGTCACATTGGTGGGTCTCCAGAAACCACCAACTGTTGCCCAGGATGTTAGTTTCTTTGCCTTTCAAGTATAATGCATCTGAATGTATTTATGCAAATGCAAAAATGCGCATTGGCAAGAGGTTACCTGGGTGTATATATGGGTGTACATGTGGCTGTGTGTTTGTGTGGTCGCATTGTGTCATTCTCTTCCAACTCGGTAACCAGGGGAGTGAGAAAGCTGCAGCTTATTGAGCATTCACTGCGTACGCGACTTCCTTTGCTTTAAATTGTCATTCACATGAGCTTGGGTCCCAGTTACGGATGCCGGGAGAAAATATGTAAATTTTTGGCGAGCAAACAATTTCGGGAACCAGATATCGTAGCAACCTGTAATTTTACATGAATTTTCAATGTCCGTGTGCGAGCTATAGGTTACAAATTCAATCTTAAAGCACGCATAAATCTAATTTGCAAATAAATCAAAGTTAAATCGAATAAATCAAAGCAATAGTTGGCAAAGTGCCAATTTAGGAACTAGGTTAATTAGAAAATTAACTTTATGAGAATACCTGTTTTTCATAAACAGGCATGCAAGCCTAAAAAGAGTGCGCATTTATCGCGCAGCAATCCAAAGATATTTGTATCGAAATGCGATTCCATCAAGCAATTAAATTAAGTCGCTGAAATTTTACAAGAATGTCCTGCGCGACTAAAAAATTTAAAATTCAGCTCTAAAGCTCCCTATGTCTCGCAGATGTGCAAGTGAGTATTTGTTTCGACACACTGTTGAAACCGATTAATTTGATAATCAGATTGAGCAGAAAGCAGTATTTTTCTGAGGACGACTGCTGAAGCGCGAGCCACCATGCGCACAATAAGCTTCTATCTAGGCATAATTCCTGCGCACAGGCGCATCAAATGTTCAAATTGCAACACCGCAACCATATGCAAAAAATACAAGCGATCTTTCTACAGGATTAAGTCATACGAAAAGCCTTGATCTCACCGGCAACTTTGGTGCGTGCCTGGGTTTGCGCATGAACGCTATTCTGACTTTGGAAAGCTTGTCCATGTTGAAATGGGTTATTGCAGCGAATGATGCATGTACCTTACCGGTGGAAGAGGGTAAGGGTACAGAACGATTGGACAGGTGGTATTTTGACAGCAGCGAGCACGTGTGTCGTAAGTTTGTTTATCGTGGACTCCAGGGAAACGCTAACAACTTTATTTCACGAGAGGCATGCCAGCAGAGCTGCAAAGGTTACTTTTTTTCAAACTGAGCCATTATTTTTAGTCTTGAGGTGTGAAAAAAAATTTTTAACTGACTGATATGACTGCAAGGAATTTCTCATAAAAAGTCCGTCTACCACGGATTCCACCGCCGGGCTGAGCTGCTGATTTGTCAGGCAGTTAATGATTTCTACAGTATCGATAAAACGCTGGTACTCAGTTCTTTTGGATACGCTTTATCCAACAAATACAGAAAAATTTTATCCAGTATCATTTTTGAAAGAGATCTCCCCTGTGACTGAATGCACTGATACAATAAAAAGTAGTAATTTCTCTGCAGTGACTGGTAAACCTTTACAGAAATAAATCCATGTAGCAGGGGCACACCGCTAATTGATCAGGCCGATGAACGGGTTTTTTGCGGCGCACTGCGACCAAATGACTGTCCAAGTGATTATTACTGCCATGTTGGAGCTTCTTCATCAACGACATTGTGCTGCCCTCGGCTAGGTGATTTTTATGCGTTTTTGCATATATGTAAATTGCAAAAACGCATATTGGGAAGAGGCTGTCTG